TGACCTCAGGTGATCCGCCCGCCTCAGCCTCCCAAAGTGCTGGGATTACAGTCGTGAGCCACCACGCCCGGCCAATAATAGCTCATCTCTAAAGCAGGAACACCTGAGTGCTTGCTGTTTGCATAGTAGACAAAGAAAAAGGAACAGAGCCGTGGAACCATCACGAAATAGCCATGCCTCCTTTGCTTCCTCTTCATCTTGATCCTCCCCTCCTCCAGTAGTTCCCTGTTCTTTTCAAATAGAACACCACACAAAAACCCAGTGAAGGAAAGTGTGTGTGTGTGTGTGTGTGAGTCTGAATATGAGTGTGTGTCTTGCATGTGGACATGTGGGTGTGTTTGAGCGTGTGTAAGAAAAAGTACATGTGAAGAAAGCAGACAGTAAAGCAAATGGGGCAGCTGTTACAATAGGCAAATCTGTGTAAAGATTATATGGGTGTTCTATGTACTGTTCTTACTCTTGCATCTATAAATTTGAAGTTATTTCCAAATAAGATACTTAACACATGGATATATGTGAGACTAATTTGACTGCACTAGGAGTTCTCTGGAATGGAAATTTTCTTCTACATCGTGATAACATATCTTACTCTCCGCATTTAACAGATGGAACAACTGACACTCAGAGAAGTTAAGTGATCTATCTGAGTTCACATAGCACATGGGGCGGAGGCAGTATGTAGGCTCAGGTATTGACCATTATAGTAGGCCACTTCTTAGGAGACCATAGCTGGTCCTTACTACTCTAGCTGGACCAGGTTGGCATCAAATTCTGAGAGCTGATTGGGTGCCCGCTGCTGTGTGTCCCAGCCCAGTCCATGCCCCCCATTGACCCAGCAGTGGAGTCAGTGTTGACCCAGCAGTGGAGTCAGCAGGGTTGCCGCTGTCTGCTGAAGCACACTGAGCATATTCAGAATGGCCAGGAACCTTCTAGAGAAACTGCTTCCTTAGGCTAAGAAACACTGTCACTGTGCTCTACCCTCAACTCTCTTCATTTCTTTTTTTTTTTTTTTTTTTTTTGAGACAGAGTCTTACTCTGTCACCAGGCTGGGGTGCAGTGGCGCAATCTTGGCTCACTGCAACTTCCGCCTCCCGGGTTCAAGCAATTCCCCTGCCTCAGCCTCTCGAGTAGCTGAGACTACAGGTGTGTGCCACCACGCCCGGCTAATTTTTTGTGTATTTTAGTAGAGATGAGGTTTCACCATGTTGGCCAGGATGATCTTGATCTCCTGACCTTGTGATCCACCCACCTTGCCCTCCCAGAGTGCTGAGATTACAGGAGTGAGCCACCGCACCCAGCCTTCATTTCTTAAAATACATGAAACTGGAAGGCCCTGCTGTGCCAGAGCCATGGAGGACTATTACCTCATTTATATAGTTGAGATCTGAGGGAAAAAGGAGTGGGTTTGGTTTACAAAGTGATGCCAGGTATAAGCCTAGGCCAGACAGCTTTCCTCTGCTATGTACCAGTCGATTGGTTGTACCCACTGCCTTGTGAGTGAGCAGGTTGCATGGTTCAGTGCAGCACATTGTATCAAGTAGATCAGGAGTTACAACTTCATGCACAAAGAGATGGCTCATTTTTAGTCAGTGAAAACCTTTCATTAACCACAGGGCCCAAGGAGGGGTAGATCTGGTAATCATTGCTAAGCAGACAGAGCTAGAGGTTCAGACACTGCCGCTTGTGTGCGGGCCCCTTTCCTCTCACACCAAACCACATGTTATGCATCTGTTTGTGCTCCTTGAAGGCCCTTGAATTATTCTTGTCATTTTTGCTTACTGATGTTTTCCCCCAGCTGCCAGAGTTGGGGGTAAGTGAATGAATATGTCCCACTCGAATTCTTAACATAGAGAAAACATTTTCCTGAAAATCTTTAGTTTTAGAATGCATCCTTTATCTGAAATGCCTACCTGTAGCTACCTTAGACTTAATAAATCCTGACCATGGTTAAGTTGTCATCAAGGGATTTTTTTTCAGGGGCCCAGCTAGTTGTATGAAATAGATCCATGAGCACTTACTATATTGTTACTGCAGCTTATATACTTAGATTGTTTGTCCTTAGGCAGTGATGAAGTTATACACCTTGCCCCCACCGTTCTCTGATTCCTCAGACTCTTTCCCTCCCCTAACATAAGTGCCCGGTAGTTGACAACCAGAATCAGGGCAAGATGCAGGAGGATGAGAAGGAGCTGCACCCAAATTCCTGTTGGGTTGTCTGAAGCTTAGAGGTCTGTGTTGGAGCTGCTGTGCAAGTGGCAATGCTGTCTGCTCAGAGAGGACTATGATAACTGAGCCTGGACCTTCTAATTCTTAGAGGTTTGGTTAGGACTTATTGGTAATCAATGTCCCAGTGTTTCCCTGGATCAATTTTGTTTTTGCTTCATGAGGATAAGCCTTTTTACTTAAGTTATAAAAGAAGGTGACATTACTGTTAAGCATTCCTGATCTCAGAACAGATCCAAAACCCATCGTATACAGGGGAAGAGGGTATAACTTACCTTCCGGTGGTGTTGCCACCCACTGCTCTGCCTCTGGAAGCACAGGAGAGGCGACCTCATAAGCACCCTTCTGATATGAAGCCATCAGCATATATTGAGGGTAGGAGGAATCTTTCCAATGTGATATCTTCAACACTCTTTCTGGAAGGGCCATCTAATCTTGCTTTTCAGACTAGGTTTACCCTGGAGGCACTACATAACCTTTGGGCTTCCCTTAGGAAATCTGAACAACTAGCAAGACCAGGGCTTCAAAGCAGGGTCTGCCCTGGAATGTTGCCCAATGCACTTTGGGGTTCTTTCACAGCTAGAGCTCAGCATGGGAATTTGCCACTGATTTGAGGTTTGTTCCAAAATATCAGGGCCCAGGTAAGGAATCACTAGATGGGATGTTGTGGTCTCTAAGGTAATCTCCCTTTTTTGAAGCTGGGGGCATGAAGTAGATAGAGCTTGACTACAGAGTTGGAGATGATCAGAGAATTTCTGCAAGTGGGTTGAGATGGTTCACACAAATTTTCAAGGATGCGGGGGTTGAGAAGAATAACCCTACTAGGGTCTTTGATCCTGAAGGCAGAGCAAATTCTGTTACTGTGACCTTCCTGGCCCTGAGGAACTTCAATAATTGTTCCTTATGAGTGCCCCCCAGCTTCCTCCCCATAGCCCAGAGCAAAATGAATCAGTCAGGGTTAGGAGCAGAGGGTCCTGACAGAGTCCAACCTAGTGAGCTGTAGCGAGAGAGCAAACCTCCCCTCTGAGTGTTCATGTCTACTTGATGGTTACTCCCAGCTTGCCCAGTCATGTGACCAGATGTCTGCTTGTGGCTAGCCACAGGTAAACTGAGTGCTATTTATATTCTCCTGCTTGGTGAAGGAGGTGGGAGAGATCATCTGGGAGCCCACAACACAGCTGTTTGATCAGCCTAGGTAAGGCAAATCTCCCTTTGACTTTGTGCCTTTTTTTTTTTTTTTTTCCCCCTACTGACCTTGCCCCAGATAATAGCATGGGTTCTGAGCTTTCAATTTAGCTGATTGGTCAGTAGCCATCTCTTATTTACCCTTTAATAGTTGGGGAATTCTAGAACTAGAGGAGGCCCAAACTCATCTGGGTACAGTCTCCTGTCTTCAAGGGTAAATACTGAGACAGCTGGGGATGTGTAATTATCTCTTCCTGAGACTGTTCAGAGGCAGAGTCTAGCCACCCTCATTCAACCTTTTATCTATCTAGCTAGACTCTCTCTTATTCTAACTAAAGCCTTTTTCTGTCCTTTATCTTTGCATCCGCAAGGAAGACTACTGATAAATTCTAATTCATTTTCCTTCCCCTCCATTTAGCCATTTTTACCTCTCTCTCTGGGATCTCACTGGTTTCTGCATTCCTTTTGAAGAGCAATCATGACAAACGGTTGCCGAGGGACCACTTGGCTGTGTATATCTGAAGTTATATCCTACTCCAGCCATGTTTCTGGACTTATAGGAAGCTCTTAATTCTGCCTGTAGTCTTAGTCTTGCTCCTGGGATGACATGACACTTCTTAATTTAGTTTAGTATCTTGATTCTACCTTGTATTAACTTACATCTTGTGAGTTTCAGTTCCTTGCCTCAGCCTTATCCATGCTTTTATTTCTTGCCTACCTTCAGTCCCCCAAATTAGAAGTCCAGTGACCCAGTTGAATTTGGCTATAACCTGCCAATGTTGAAACGCTAAAGGGTTTAGGTCCTTGCTGAGGAATGAATTGAATTTGTCTTCCTCAATGAAGCCAGTATTTTTTTTCTTACAACTTTATTTTGGAAAATTTCAAACCTACAGAAAAGTTAGAAGCACAATGTCTACCTATTTATCTTTCACCTAGACCCACTGATAACTTTTGCCACAATGGTCTCATCTCTCTTTTCTCCTTCTGTTTATATATATGTGTGTCTAGACATACCCACATATGCACGTATGTACATCCATATGCACTTTTTTGGGTGCACAATTTGACAGTAAGTTGCAATTATCATGACATTTGTCACCTCATAACAGTGGCATCTCCTGAGAATAAAAACATCCTTTTCCATAATCGTAATACCATCATTATACGTAATGAAATGACATCATCTATTAGGTTGGTGCAAAAGTAATTGTGGCTTTGCCAAAGGCAGAAATGGACTAGAGATGTCATCTAGTCCATTTTCAAATTTTCCCTTTGATGGTTCTTGTTTTTGATCAGAACCCAGCCAAAGTCCCCTTTTGGTTATGTCTGTTTTAAAAGTCTCTCAATCTGGAACTACTTCCCACTCCTGTTTCTTGTTTTGTTGTATTTATTTTTTATGACTAACATTTTGAAAAGTGAGCATCAGTTGTCTCTAGTTGTCCCACACTGGATTTTTCTGTTTCCTCATGGTGTATCTAACTTGCTCCTATATCCCATGTATTTCCTGTAAATGGGAAGTTAGATCTGGGACCTGATTAGATTCAGGTTAAACATTTCTGACAAGAACATCTCATGGGTAAAGCTATGTACTTCATAAAATGTCACTTCAGGTGATACATAATGCCAGAATGTCCACTGCTAGTCAGGCTCAGTTGGATCACTTGAGGTGGTATGGTAGCCCCCAGGCTATAAAAGTACATTATTCTCTTTGTAAATGGTTTCTGGGGTAATACTTTGGGATTATATAAATGTTCTGTTTCCTATGACCTTTGACCCAGCAGTGTTGGCATCTATTGAGAACTCTTCCTGATAGAGATATTACTCTGGGAGTTGCATAAAGCCAGTTCTGAATTAACACTAATAGATGTGAGTGTTGACATGAGCAGTTCAAAAGAAGAATACCCAAAAAATTGTCTTTTGGCCTTTGAAATCACTGGAGGGATGGCAACAAAATGGGACCATCAAATTCTGTCAATGTTTGTAGGTTTTTAACTTGAGTATCAGTTGCTAAAACATATACCATCAGCCCTCTGCATCTGTGGTTTCTGCATCTGTGGGTACTACCAACTGAGTATCAAAAATACTTGGAAAAAATTGTACAGACTTAATTTTTCTTGTTATTTCTTTTTTCTTTCTTTCTTTCTTTTTTTTTTTTTTTCTTTTCTTTTTGAGACAGAGTCTGGCTCTGTCACCCAGGCTGAAGTGCAGTGATGCGATCACAGCTGCAGCTTTGACTTCCTTGACTCAAGCAATCCTCCCACCTCAGCCTCCAGAGTAGCTAGCCCTGTAGGCACATACCACCACACCTGGTTAATTTTTAAAATTTTTTGTAGAGACGTGGTTTCTTTATGTTGCCCAGGCTGGTCTCAAACTCCTGGACTCAAGTGATCCTCCTGCCCCAGTCTCCCAAAGTGCGGGATGACAGTGTGAGCCACCATGCCTGGTTTCTTGTCATTATTTCTTAAATAATACAGTATGACAACTATTTATATAGCATTTACATTATATTAGGTATTATAAGTAATCTAGAGATAAAGTGTGAGATTGCAGGGAGGCCGGGCAAGGTGGCTCACACCTATAATCCCAGCACTTTGGGAGGCCAAAGCACAAGAATCGCTTGAGCCCGGGAGTTCGAGACCAGCCTAGGCAACATAGAGAGATCCTGTCTCTACAAAAAAATTTAAAAATTAGCTAGGCAAAGTAGTTTGCACCTGTTGTCCCAGCTACCTGGGAGGCTCAGGTGGGTCATGCCTGTAATCCCAGCACTTTGCAAGGCCAAGGAGGGAGAATCACTTGAGCCCAGGAGCTTGAGGTTGCAATGAACTGTGATCATGCCACTGCACACCAGCCTGGGCAACAGAGCAAAACCCCGAATCAGAAGAAAAATAAATAAACAAATAATAAAGTATATGGGAGGATGTGCTTAGTCCATATGCAAATACTGCACTGTTTTATATGAAGGACTTGAGCATAGCTTTTGGTATCTGCAGGAGGTCCTGCAACCAATCCTCCACGGATGCCGAGTGATGACTGTATGCTGCTGTCTGGCAGTTTAAGCCAGGGAGAAGGCAAGCTGAATGGAGCCAAAAATAAGTCATGGTTTGTTCATAAAGCAGAAATTATTTTGATTATCTCAAAGTTATCTCTAATCCTGTTCTGATTTCATTTTCCTTCTTTCACTTGCTTTCTACCATCCTCACTAGAAAAGGGACCCCCCCCACACCTTTTTTTTTTTTAAAGACAGGGTCTCACTGTCACCCAGACTGGAGTGCAGTGGCATAATCATAGCTCACTGCAGCCTCAACCTCTCGGGCTCAAGCAATCCTCCCAACCTCAGCCTCCCCAGTATCTGGGACTACAGGCATGTCATGCCCCCATGCCAGCTAATAAAAAATTTTTTATTTTTTATTTTTTTATTTTTTTTGAAACGGAGTCTCACTCTGTTCCCAGGCTGGAGTGCAGTGGCGCAATCTCAGCTCACTGCAAGCCCCGCCTCCCGGGTTCACGCCATTCTTCTGCCTCAGCCCCCCGAGTAGCTGGGTCTACAGGTGTCCGCCACCACGCCTGGCTAATTTTTTTGTATTTTTAGTAGAGACGGGCTTTCACTGTGTTAGCCAGGATGGTCTCGAGCTCCTGACCTCGTGATCTGCCTGCCTTGACCTCCCAAAGTGCTGGGATTACAGGCGTGAGCCACCGCGCCCAGCCTATTTTTTCTTTTTTGTAGAGTTGGAGTCTCGCTATGTTGCCCAGGCTGGTCTCAAGCTCCTGGACTCAAGTGATTCTCCTGTCTTGGCCTCCCAAAGTTCTGGACTTACTGGTAGGAGCCACCACACCTGGCCAATCCCTCATTTAAAAATTGTCTTCCTACCTTGGCCCACGCAACATGCCCAGTGGGTATGCTAGTGTTCCTGAGACCCAGGTGTGATCATCCTGTTTCCAGCAAGGGAAAGGAATAGAACCCTTCCAACCCATGGAATAGTTCCTGAACCAAGGGTGCCAGGAGGTCATGACATAGTTGCGTCTGACAACAAAACACAGGGTAGGAAATGTACTTTCAGAAATCTTCTGTTTGGGTAATAAAAGGTCTCAGTTTGCTCTACGACCTTGGAGAAATCAGTTCACCTCTCTGCAGGGGGGTGTGTCATAGGCCCTGCATCACCTTGGAAGCTCAACTCCCTCATCCATAAGAGAATTCGTGAGCTTGTGGGGGTGCACATATCCAGAACAGAAATCAGAGTACAGTTTCAATCATAGTTGTCCTTTTGTAGGATTTTTTGTCTTTGAACTTCCCTAATCTTTGTTTTTCCTTCACCTTACTTAAAACACTACCTAAGAGCTGACTGGGCTTCATGATTTCTTTCCCACTTGATGGGAATCAGATTCCTGTGAGAAGTGAAGATATGAAGGGTTTATGCCTGTCCTTTGAGTTTAAAATAGCCGTCCAGGAATCCATCACTCCCAAATAACCATGGAGTAAGGATTTTTTTTTTTTTTTTTTTTTTAGAGATAGGGGGCTAGGCTATGTGCTATTTATGCTATTCTTGCAAAGGCCATGGAGATCCCAAAGGAAAGTATGTTCCAATCTGTAACTGCTAGTGTTTTGTTTTTAAAATGTTGAAATCCTACAGAACTCCTCTTCAGAGAATTCAGATAAAAGGTGAAAAGTTCACACCACTTCCTTTTCTTCTAACTGCAGCTTCTTAAGAATTGAACAAATGTCTAAGTAACTGCTGTCTACTCTTTTTATATACACACATAGACTTTGGGTTCACCCTTTTTCTCCTTGCTGTTATAAAGAACCAATGTATTCCTTATTTTTTTCCCACAATGACATCTCCAGAAGGGTTTCTCTTGGCCTGTCTCTCCAGCTGCCTACAGATGTGGTCTGCATCTTGGGAAGTTGGACACACAGCCAGAAATGCTTTCAATGGCTCTCACTTAAGCTGTACACTTAAATATGGAGTCAGTAATTGAGAGCCTGGCTGAGAAGTTTTTCATGTGTGTATAAAT